TACGTGTAGAGAGGACAGCATTTTCAACACTTCCTGCGATCTGTGAATTGTAACTACTTCATTCCGAGCGTTGTCGACCGTCAAGTATGCTGATTCATCGGCAAAACTGGTATGTGCCCAGAAGGAAGCGGCGCGCACCGGCCGCCGTGAGGCTCGGTCCACGCACTAAAAATCCTCCCTCTATACTGCCGCAGAGATATGATGATTCCTCGTATCAGCATTTAACGTCGCCTGCCTCGAAGGAGCATTGGCCGACAGTCACGTGTTTGTCATCTGGCGCATGGCCGAACTCTCTGCTATACATCACTTCCACTGCTGAAGGTTGCTTCGATGTTTGGGCTGACGTGAATCTGCTACAACAGCTCTGCAATCTTTCGCTGGAGCTAAGACTTGCTGCATCACAATCAGAAGGATCCAGGGATCTCTAAATCGCTGCGCGGATCTAGCAAATTGTAGCTCAGAAGCAGGTAACGGATGTGTGGGTGGTAATAGGTACAGGATGCCTAAACTGAGCACTGTGTGGCGAAACTATTTTGGGCCACTGTTAAATAGACTACGTCCCATATTACAAATGGATATATGTATATAGGTACCTGCGATCTGTTAGTTGTTACTTGTTTCTTTAATATGATGTGCCCTTAAACATATATCAGCGAAGAATAATTTGTGTTTGTAAGTACTGTACCATCTCTACTAGCGGCCTCCGTAGTCTAGAGGTAACGTTCCCACCTCACGACTCCTAGTACGCGGGTTCAAATACCCGGCGGAGGTCGTCGAATTTTTAAGGGCGGAAAAATTCAGGGAACAAGTCCTCCGGGAGGGACTTTAAGCCGTGGGTCCCGTGTCGTAGCTTTACGGCACGTAAAAGAACCTCATACCTCCAAAGGAGGTCACTGAGCCAAAATTGCGGACGTTTCCCGCCCAACAGCAGTCATTAATACCTGCGGTAGATGGGAGAAGCATTATAGATACCTCTCAGCTAGTAGAGCCGGTCTCGCTGGCTGGGCGGGACTGATGGTAAGCACCAGTACCGGTAGGATATAGAGACTGGTAGAAATCATAGAGGGAAGCACAATGGACCACTACAGGTCTAAGTGCTTGGGGAAACCCACCCTCTCTAATAACTAACTAACTAACCATCTCTACTGTTCAGTAGGTTTATAAACAACAGATTTGTTTCTGTAATAAACATCAACAGACATGAGCATAGACATGAACGACCTTGACAACGTGGACCAATGGTAGATAAGAAACGGCAGGAAAGCATCAGGCAACAGCCAGAATTTCGCTTCTTCGTAAACAGCTCACGGTAATGCTGAGGCCCCCGGTAATTATATTGACATCGAAACAAGTGGTGAAGTGGTGAATACTCCTGCTCGGAATTCCAGGGGTCTCATATTCTTTCCTTGGTCAGAAAATCTAAAGCATTTTCTTTGTGTTCCTCAGTCATTCCAGAAAAATGCTAGAATACTATTTCAAAATAAGTCGCGAAAGTTTCCTTTCCACTTTATCACTCGACAGTTTATAAACGGCGAACTGGGAGAGTTGTGTTGCTCATATAAACCAGTATTTCTCCCAGAGGCCAGTGCGCTCATTTGCTGCAAGAGGGACTAGGAGAGACTGCATGAGGAATACGTGTTCTTTCATCTGTAAACACGCTTACGTGTAAGTTAATTAACTTGCCTATGAAGGAAACTGCATCCACAGGACCCCTAACAATTACCTTAATAAGAAAAACGCTGAAGGCAGTAAAAAATTAATTCAGAGGAAAAGAAAGAGTATAATGACGCCTAATTTAAAGTAACACTTTACTGCATACCGGTGAATTAATATAGGAGATCATTAGCACTTCAATTCTGCTGCTCCTTAATCAACCTCTTTGCTGACGCGAAAGTGACTTGTCATACATTTCAACAATTTGCAGATCATTGTAACTAACTCAGAGGTTGTTATTCTTTGAGGTGATGTGAAACACGTATCTCGTTATGCAGTTAGCGTCGCATAAGATGCAACTGAATCGAGTAACTGGAAACGAGAGCAAGATATCCAGTGGCAGATACAAGCCTCCTTACTGCTCACTTCCACTGAGACTTTCGTGGTACATGTCCTAGACATTTCGCCGATCTGACTCTGACATCCTAACAAGAGCAGGTGAGGGGTACGCGTTATAAGATCGTTATTAAATAAGTTGTGCCCCCCCCTGCTATTTCATGTCTCCCATTTCCGAATGATGTCCTCAAATATCTGAGTTCCTCACAATTAGAGACAACATTCATTCGTTGTCATCAACCCTACGGCATTAAGCAAACAGAACATAGGGAAATAGTCATTGAAGTCATTAATTACTAGTAATATGATCACCATAAAATGAGACGGTGGCACAAGGGATTGATGTGAAAGTTTATGCTTCTCCGAATTAATTGTAACTGTACGTAGTGTAATTTAAGCAATATCCAATATTTTATGATAAGTCCTTTTAATACATTTGTTAATAATGTTGGATTATGTAGGCACTGTAGAATGACTGTAACAAATAACAAGAACGGGTAGATGCACAAGTAAGTCTATCCTCCAGATGTGTTTTGTGCGAGTTTATATACCTCATTAGCCTTGGTGATCATTTTTACTGCTGATGGAATTCTTGTTCCCTTGTAGTTAAATTACACTCTGCTCTCAAGCCATTAAATGCCTAATGTCACCCTCTTCCATCATGAACAGAATCGGTTATCTCAGTGAATTACTCTGCATTTCTTTATTCATTTATCTTTTTGTTCTTCTGTCGTTGTATTTGTTCGCTATATCCTATCAAAATTCAGACATAGTAATGTGTTAACTTTCAGCGAATATTACGTTTAGAATCGCTTTAATTTTGATCTTAAGTCATAAAATTACATCTCTCCATTATGGACAGTTAACTCTATTTTTATCAGTGTAAACAAAAATACACGCACGCCAGCTCTCAACTTGGTTACGCTGCAAATACAGTTATTGTCTGAAAACTACAATCAATATCTGTAATCATAAATAATTTTTTCTTTGGCCTATTTCGTTAAATATTTGAGTAATACAAACTGAAACTGAATTTACTTTTGGAAATTTAGTGTACACCGCAACACCATAGTTCATCGAATTCAGATCAGCAATTTTGGAAATAAAATGTACTGGACATACACGACCTCACCAAATAATTGTGCAAAGAACGCATAAAGATTGTGTTCCTACTTACACGAAAATACTATTACAGCTTCAGAAATACCAATCGCTTATCGGTATGTAGAGCAGTAATAGTTGTTCATTCTGTGACTCAAATGAACCTGAAGGAACACCCTATGAAATGATGTAGATAGCACATGTATACACCACGGTCTTTTTCAAAAAAGTTAACTCTCGTATTTTCTGAAGAGAGTCGTCTTCTGGGTTTAGGCACCGTGTATTCTTCGTGTTGGCCGACGTTTCGGAGGAAAGTAGCGCCTCCATCTTCAGAGCAGTTGAATGGCTTGGAATGCCGAGAGCAGTAGCTGTGCTACTGCTCTCCGCATTCCAAGTCATTCAACTGCTCTGAAGATGGAGGCGCTACTTTCCTCCGAAACGTCGGCCAACACGAAGAATACACGGTGCCTAAACCCAGAAGACGACTCTCTTCATTGTCATCGCCGTGAAAACCTCAAAACTTACTCGTATTTTCTGTTTGATCCACTGTCGCAGGTAATATACACGTACAAGAAGACAGCCATACCTAAAGCACTCGAAACCTCTTCATGTAGAGAGGTGCAAGACAAGGCTAGATTCATAGATCATGCCTTAAGGACGTAACTATGCTCTGATGCCATTCTTGTCATTAATGCAAATATAAAACATGACATCAAAACGGACAGAACATTCCATTTATATCATTACAATAATCTGAGGAAAACATACAACTGCATCGCTATTTCAAGAATTATAATTATTATATCGTTTAATTAACGTTCATGTTCTTATTCACACTAGTTAGCTAAAGAACTAAGAGATAACTAAGTATTTTTTTTATATATTTCTAGTGGGGTGCGACTAAGTTCCTTGTACTGCGGCCACTTCTGGCCTATTGTACCAGCCCCAGATAATGGGTGAGGGTGATTGTGGAGCAATAGATGGAATGAAGATTGGCAGGGGAAACCGAAGTACTCGGAGAAAACCTGCCCCAGCGCCACTTTATCCACCACAAATCACACTTGACCAGACCCGGTATCGAACACGGGCCGCCGCGTTGGGAAGCCAGCGCCTAACCGCTTGAGCTATGGCGCGGCCCAAATAACTAAGTAAATCTACAAATTATCTGCGAAATTAATTAACCATACAGTTAATTAGTCACAATACTAACTAACCTTCAGAAGTAGCAGAGAAACCAATTTACTAAGCAGTGTATCCTGCTCTGATTTCTGATAAAATAATTTTATAATACTAAAGTAACCTGTGATGAACCAAACTCTGGCTTTGCAGTAAAACAATTATGGGGTACAGTGCATTTCACATTCCATGCAGAACTAAACGAGGAATGTGAATAAATGCGGGTTTTTTTCTCTTGAGCTTTTACACCCCTTATGACTTTTAAAGCGGTTTTAATATTCGAGCTATATTGCTTTTCATAAAACCAACCCTACAGCTAAACTCAGTGAGGGAAACGTATCTGCAGACTGGGAATTGAAGCCAGAATTAAACCGTAGATGTTTGCTGCAGTGTTAAGATGAGTATACTTTGCCTGCCAGACGAATTGCCCATCGACAATGTTTGGAGATCGAGCCTATAACACGCTTTCTACCTGCTTATTAAAATCGGACAACAGGTTGTATAAAGAAATATTTTCTAAAATATTCTTGTACAGTTACAGTAATCAGCATAAGTACTAGACAGCATACGGCTGTATGAACTGAAACTATAATTGTGGCTTTATAACTGCATTCGCCCCTTCAGCACTAAACAAAACATGATAGTTCTCCTTTAGATGTTATTTTACGTCTTACCTCAAACCAATCCAGGCGCTGACTCAGAGAAGAGCATGTAGCAAGCGATCCCATGACAGTTTCGAGGTCAAGTTCAGTGCAACGCACGTGGTTCATATGATAAGGGTGTTACAATTCCCAGTATTACAGTACACGTTAGAGGTGTTATTAAACCAGCTATCTACCTTAAAAGCACACACACCACTTTCACCACAAAAATAAAGAGTACGACAAATCAACAAAGATTCATTCACCGACCTTCCTCGCATGAACACAACCGGACAGAACTACTCACTTGTTTCCGGTCTGCGCAATCGTTACAATTCGGCTATCATCGTAAATATTCCCGATCACAGGGAAGTTATGCATATTGCAGGTCTAGCAAGGTGCACTCACACTTTAACCTGTATTCATTTTCAATAGAGGCACGCGGTAGTGCTGTTAGTTGAGGCACAATGCTACAAGCCGGAATGTTGCGGGTTCAAGTCCCGATGAGGTAATTGGATTTTTTTCACTTGACCTGATCCTTCCAGCCGCACAATGGCCCTGGGGTCGACTCAGCCTCTAACAGAAATGAGTACTAGGAATATTCTTGGGGCTAAAGGGCGGCCGGCGCGTAGGGCTGACAACCTTGCCGCCATCTATGAGTCGATTGTCTAGAAAATGTGGGAACCTCAACGTCTCACGACCATATCGGCCTCCACGGCCTGTTACAGGGATACCTTTACTTTTTTACTTTATTCCTTTGCAACAAAAATAAGCCACGAGATCAGGAAGCCGTTGTGTTGCTTTTCGAGAATTCAATCAACTGACTGACGTTAGCGAAATCTGGTGCGAATACAATGCCGCTGGGAACCGTCCGAACCGCATACATTTTAATATTATATAAACTGTAAGAGCAACATTGCTGGCAGGCGAATTCATGCGGTGGGAGCGACAGTAGCACCATTTAGCATTAAAGGTCTGAAATATTACATGGCAAGTCTTCGAGAAATACGTAACTTTGTTCCATTAATATTCATGTAAAATGTAAAATAACAACTAGCACCAACAACTTAATAAACTGAGAAAATATATAGTTGACATGATTATGGAAATGAAATTCAGAACCCAGAAACACCATCGAGAGTGGGTTGTAAAGGTCTGGAAAATTCTATATTCTTAGTGTAACATGTTAGTTATTTCCTGGAAGAAGTATAGACCACGCAGCAGAGCATACCGCATAAATTAGAGAACACAACAACAATAATCGACATCCTGGAAATAAGAAAGAAGATAAATTCGTGCTTAAGAAGCAGCTAACACAAGCGAATGTAGCCAATAATAGCAGATCAGACGGAAGGATGCGAGGCCTACAACAGCAACAGAGACGAAGCTGAATACAGCATACGACACTTTAAATTAATTTAAAATAACTTTTAATCTTCAACTTTTAGTTCCTTATATATCTTGTATTTAAACCAACGTTTAGATGCTATAATACGTATAAATGTACATAGAAAGTAGTCAATTTGATCCTATGTATGTACTATTAAATATATATACACGCTTTACAATTCAATAATAAAAATATTTAATTCACAACACCTGAGGATGACCCTATAACGGTCGAAACATGTAGTGGAACATAAGTTAATAAATTATAGTTGCGTTAACGTTGGAATTTGTATTATTACTTATATATTGAGAATCATTAAACTTTAATTTTACTAATGTTTTCATGTGCGTAGCTATCAATACACTCGCCTTGTATTGAATCAATGTCAGACAGTAGTGGATTTCAGTGTTTACGAGATGTAGTGACACGGTCTCAAACAGAAGACATACCTAGAGCAGTAAATTGCATCACATAAATCATTATTAGGTACAGTTAAAAGCATGGATCGTAGAACAGATCATTGAAAGACCCTGGAAAGAACATCAGAAGCTGACGAAAGAGTTTCAGAAACATTGATCTGAGACTGCCTGTTGATTAGGTAACTGTGAAAGTAGTTTACATAACCACCAGATGGTCCAAAGGTGCAAAGTTTTGAAGCAGAAGGACGTGAGGTACAAAGTCAAACGTACTGATGAGATAAGAAAGTCAACATCTTGAGGCAGACAGCTGAATAAAGGGGTTATAAAACCAAGATATGTTATAAAATTTCTGATGGTAGATATATATTTAGTGTAACCATGCTGCCAAGAATTCTGTTTAGACATTATGTCATGTGAAACACGGTCATGCATAATAAATAGAAAACATTTAGAAAAATGTAAAGAATAGATGTTGCTCTGTAGCTGCTGAAAGAGTTATATTCCTACCGTTTAGAAAATAGGAGCAGTTGAAATTTGTTTCCACGAAATGGGAAATTATTGTGGATATAAGCTTAAATTAAGACATTTTTGGGAATGGGTACGAAGATATCAGAACAAACCTTATAAAGTCAGTGTTGTCAGAATTCCGATAGATTTAGATGGTCTCAGATGTTCAAGGCCTTTAGAAGCATCGGAATCAGGAACAGGCGATAAACACCTGCATGCAGAAGGTTGTGAAAGAGACTGCAGAAACCTGCTAAATTATGCTGATTGAGAACGTTTGGAAACTCTGTCAGCCATTTCGCAGGTTTCGACCAAATACGTACCATCAGTTTCAGTCTCAACAGATTTTAACTCCTTTTCCTAAAAAGAAGCTGCCTCAATTTCGGCAACGACGAAGACGACTATGATGATGATGATGATGATGATAATAATAATAATAATTCAATTCAATTCATGTTTATTTACGTGCGATAACTTAACAGCACAGTGGCCAATTACAAAGTTAGCACGAGTATATACAGAAAATAATTAAAACAAAATACAATTATAACAAATAAATCTGTGAACATAAATCTAAAGAAGACTGAAATATATACATACATTTATGAACTATTACGAGTGTTGCTAATACTGTTAGTAACTAAATACTAAGATAAGACAACTGGGAGTGATAGCATAAAATTAATAACAAGTCAATAAATTANTTTTATATTGCTCATAAAATACAAAATACAACAGCGTAACAGCAGAGCAGCAGTAGTCATCTACGTCGAAAGAAACCAGGGCGTAGGTGGGTGGACAATACATTAAAATGCATCTTAGAGAGATAGGACGGTATAGTATCGATTGGATCGATCTGACTCAGGATAGAGACCAATGGAGGGCTCTTGTGAACACGGTAATGAACCTTCGGGTTTCATAAAATGTTGGGAAGTTCTTGTGTAGCTGCACAATTGGCGGCTTCTCAAGAAGGGCTCAGCTCCATGAGTGAGTGAGTGAGTCTGTGAAATCTGGCGGTACGGGCGCCAATTTTGTCGAGATGAGTGATACCCAGTAACTCATCTCCTGGACCTGCGCGAGGCATTGAATTTGTGTTGAACAGTATCGCCAGTTCAGTGATGTGATTGCTGTACTTGGCTGGCTGGGACAGTGAGTTTGGCTGCAGGTTGTGAAGCACAGCTCTCAGCGGCGTGTAGGGGTTATCCAGTTCGTCACCTCGTCCACACTGGTCCTGGGTCCATCTGTTTCCTNAAGCCTGGCGAGCATGAGCACGAGCGCGAGCACGAGTAATGTTGACGCACCGTTGTACACCTGATGATGTCCAGTCAAGCTGAAGCATGTAGTGTTAAATAAATAAGAAGAAGAGACGAAGAGCCTTCGAAGTGTGAGTTGTAATGTGTGGACAAGTCCCACAGAGACGGAGAAGCGAGAGCGCTGAAGTTGCAGTACGCAGTACGCCAGGATGCTACAATGCAATGTTATTAACACGTGGCTCCTAGGAATATGGCAGTCTTTATGAAGCTGACTACGAGTTCAGTAAGTTACACTGAAAAGAAAGAACATGTGAGATCGTAAAGAGAGCACTGTAAAGACAAACACGGAGAGAGAAGCAGCTGAAATATTGTAAAGTAATGTAGTTTCTCACTATTATATGCTGAGTGAAAAGGTTATTAACTGAAGAATTTGCTGAATAGAGGATATCAATTGAAACATGTGAGAAATACAAAGTTATGTAACAAATTGAAGTGTACGTTAAGAAAAGACAATAAGTAAAACATTCCATGAATATAATGTGGCATGCAGACCCATTGCTAGGCAACGACTGCAAAATAAGCAATTATACAACAGACGATGCTAGGTAAGCGCCATAGCTCAAGCGGTTAGTCGCTGGCTTGCCACCGCGGCGCCTGGGTTCGGTCCCGGGTCTGGTGAAGTGGGATTTGTGGTGGACAAAGTGGCGCTGGGGCAGGTTTTCTCCAAGTACTTCGGTTTCACCTGCCAATCTTCATTCCATAAATTGCTCCATAATCACCCTCACCTATTATCTGGAGCTGGTACAATAGGCCAGAAGTGGCCGCAGTGCAAGGGAATTAGTCCCAACCCATTAGCAATCAATCTATCAATGCTAGGTAATGGCTCTGTAAAGAACGGCTGTTGCTAGGTAATGGCTGCAATTGACACGCACGCAGCAATATAAGAACTGTTGGAAGGAGTGTAGTCACGATCTCTAAGTTTTCAGTGAATCCAATTACCAGTCCAAACCCCGTCTATTGTCGCTCCCTATACCTGAAAATAAGAACACGTTTCAGGCAAAACTCCTTAAGGCCACTTTAAAAATTTTCATACAATCTAGTCGAAGGCTTCATCTCACTTATTTAGCTATAGTTTGTGCGTTTGTCAGTTCATATTCTTTTCCAACATTTCCCGCGTTGTTAATGTTGAACTGTGCAATGTAATTAGTCTGTACACTTTCCAACATTATACAGCGACGTAACTGCCGGGTTACGGTGCTGAGTAAGTAGTTATCTGATCGTACCCTACTGTAGGCACTATGTAACCTCCTACTGTTTCCATTTGTAAACACGTTACATGCAGAATACGATTATATGTGGATAACTAAATCAGTACCAATTGTCACATAACCACAAGTGTTCACACTTGCTGTGTTTCTAATTAATGACTCTCATAAACATGTCATACATAATCCTTAGACATATTTAATCTCTCTTCATACTGAGTTAAGTACCTGTAGTTACCTTTTTCATTAGCTTCCGCTGTCAAACTCAAAGCTATATTAAAATTTTGACAACTCCCGCCATAGAATTGGTCTTTACTACACAAGAAAATACCAAAGTTACAACTCTTCACATCTTGCAGCGCATTTAAATTCAGGACAATCCACTGAGTGGCGCTAGTGTTCTCGTTTCCCAATACCATGTGTCCGCAATGCTGCAATACTGA